AATCAAAAATAAAACAAGACTATGTTGCAGATGTATGAACAGTGCGTATGGTTGTGTTTCCAGTTGAGCACCAATTAGAACCTACCCTCCCCTCAATCCAACATACAGAAGAGCATCTTTGAGCAGCAGTGTCTTCGTGTGTATTGTCGGCCCACCCCTGTGCCCCAAGTCATTGTCGAGCAAGCCAGCCCATCCACTCTTATTTACCCTCGTACGGAACGGGCCTTACTACCCGGTTTGATCTGGCTGATCAGGAGGGATTTAAGGAGAGCCCCCATCTCCTCAGGAATTATTTAACGTCGCAAACAGGACGACGATCACAGCCAATATCAACACCGAGTCCCCAGCCAGAAGTATTTATAGACGGTCTGGTAAGCATCTCTTATGGGCTGGCACACCCGGCACGACTTCTATAGCGCAGCAAAGTGCCAAAACGGACAAGCAGCCATCGCATGAGTGACCTACTCCCATTGGGTTGGCATGGTGACCGTGACCCAAGTGCTTCGACCAGGGCCCTTCAGAGGCACCGCCCATTCTCCTCCCAGATGCTTCCGGGAAGATTGTCGTCTCTCAAGGTAGCGTGCATTCGACACCTCACCAAAAGAGAGGACTCTCAAGTTGGACTCACTTCCTCGTGGTAAGAAGAGATTGAGAGAGTAGATAAGGTAAGGGAACAACGTACCTGGAGATAGCTACCACAAATTTCTCACCAATTGAGTTGAGTGTGCATTTGATGACCGGTCGTAGCCTCGGTACCACCCACAACGCAATGCTGTGCCACCTCAGCTAAATGCCACATCAGCATGCTCTCATCATCAATCATGCATTCCGTTGTAGCCATGGCAACCCATGCCGTATAGCCTTCCGGCGCACACCTCYCTACCCAGGTCGTGCGCCTAATGTTGGCCTGACGTCACAAGAACCAACTGCGAAGAAGCATCGTCAACGCACCAAGTCTGTATAACGCCAGCGCACGGAGGTAAGTGGCGAATCAAACCTTGCTCTGATACCAAATTGCAACGAACATGAATGTGGACGAAGCACAGAAATCCATATTGCAAAATCACACTGAAGTCCAAGTAGTCAAAGCAAGAGCAGATAGCACAATGGAACCGAGTAACCATCCATTTGAGAACGATACAGAAGAATCGTGAGTCAATGTCCAAGCCCAATCAGGCAACACCAACAGCATAACCCAAT